TTCACTCCCAATAATTTAATTGCAACATATATGGCTTAGGTATACTATTCATTTACCCCCAATAATTAGTTTCCATAATTTTTTCCCAAGTCTTCTCTGAATTTTTAATTCATTGACTTCAAATGTAGCAGGTTTGGAATGGATTGGAGTAAATGTGCTTCATGAGTAGTTTGACTTATCGACACCTACAGAAATCCCAACTTTCTCTCCAATTTTCTCTGAATAAGTGTAAACAAACCCGATAATTGGTCTTTACTATTTTTAATGACGTGTTGGTGATTTTCAACTTTCTTTTCAACTTCTTTAATTTTATTTAGGATAAAACCATGTGTACCGAAGGGGGTTATCGAAGCGTGTCCCCCTCCCCCCTCACAAACACACGGGCCCCGCGTGTATTTAATAATGTCGAGCCGTGGTCCCCACCTTAATGATGTAAGTGAGGTGTAAACGATTATGTAAATGATTATGTACGTGTAGCACGGTCCTTTTATTTATTTTATTATTATTTTTTTTTGAACTTTTGGTAATTTACTTCCGACAAATACATTATAGTGTCGATGGTGCCTCTGTGTCGGAAGCATAGGTGGCATAAGAAAGAGGGGATCCTTAATTTATCCTATTAATTCTCAATTCATGAAACCTTCGGATTAAGAAACAAAAAAATATAGAATAATACCATATAGCATGAATACATTTACTGTGAGAAAAAGAAAAGAAAGCAAAAGTCGTCATCAATGGAAATGTTATGCACAATTAGATGTTTAAAAAAAAGGAGAAAACAATTAAAATTTTTATTTGGGTGGAACAATAATTTATTTTAGACTAATTATCTATTAAAATCTAATTGTGTAATTACTTAAGATTGTTTAAATAAATAAAAAAAATACTAAAAATTGTGTAGTAATTAAAAATTGTAGTGCTAATATAATTACCATTTTGAAAATATTCAACGTGGAGAGGAGGTCTCCATTATTGTTGTAAAACTCAAGGATATAATTTACTCTGAAATCTTATTATACTTTTTTCAGGGAAATTTGCACTTTACCTCCAAAATTTTCCAAGTATAAAAAATTTATCATCAACTTTGTTTAGGTATAATTCGTCTTCAACCTTCCAATTACGTAGCGAAACTTGTCATTCCTTCCATTTTTTATTAAATGATGAATTTTTCCTCTTTCTTAAATTAATCAAAAACTAACGAAAAATTACAAAGTGAGTCCCATAAGTTTTCAAAAAGTTATAAATAAATGCCACTTGAGACAATTAAATACATATTTACATTAAAAAAACACAAAAAAAAAATGAAAAATGAAAAACATTTCATCATTTCTAGTTAAGCTCGTCCATTCATCCCAATCCAACCATAACCCAACACATCGCGGTCAAACACTATCTCCGTAAATGCAATCACAATACCACCACCACCTTATGAAATTAAATCAGAAAAGAAAAATTAAAAACCTTCTAGATAAATAATCGGCACTTGTGATTTGAGTTCTACATTTTGATTTCTCAAAGAGATGATGGAGAGCTAGTGAAGTGTTCAAATGTCAGTGGTAATTCTTCGAATAAAAAACATATACGTTCCTAATATACTAGATGTGGAGTTAATTGTTTCAATGTCACTGAATTTAGGTTCATATTTTTTATTGGTTACTAAAGTTTAAAATGTCTAGTTTTGACCACTGAACTTTGAAAAATGTTATACATTACTTATTGAATTTTAAAAAATATTGTTCACTACTTACTGAATTTTGAAAAATGTTGTACATTGCTCACTATAAATTCGATATTTTTCAAAATTCAACATTTATGCTAGTGAGTAACGTACAGCATATTCCAAAGTTCAATAGTCAAAACTCAACATTTTAAACTTTAGTAAGCAATTTAAGGCATGGATTTAAGTTCAGTGAGCAATCGAAAATATTGACCTAAATTCAATGACCAAAACGAGATATTTTAAACTTTAGTGATCAATCAAAAATATGAACCAAAGTTCAGTGATCATTGGAACAATTAACTCCCAGATGTGTGCATTTAAATTAAAAAAATAAATAAAAATAAAAATAAAGGTTGAACCATGTGGAGTAGGGATCTAGTGTCAGTTCAAGATAATTTGAATTTTTATTCATTGTCATGATTATTATTATTATTATTATTATTTAGTACAACAAAATGATTTCATATTTTTTTGTCATCAATTGGTGGGTCTCAAGCACCAAATTGTCAAAGAAAATCAATTAGGTTGTCTGTGAAATACTAACTCCCACGCAATTAGTAACGAGAAATATATTTCTCCACCGACAATTAATAATTTATCAATAATTTAATAATTAATGACTATAACACAAAGTCTTAAGCAATGTCATGATGTAACGCCCACTTACTGTCATCCAAACCCAAACCCTATTTTATATATAAATAAATCTCAGGCCGGCAAGTAGATATGTTAAATTGATGAATATATATATTTAGATAAGAAATTGCATTATTTATCCCTATCTATTCTCACAGTAACAAGTTGATCTTAAACGTTTCAAAGGATGAACTTTACAATATTAATCCTCGATGATATGAGTTGTCTAAACTTTTCTGAATCACGTGTGATCCACACATGTTCATTTTATAAAGTTCAGTTTTGTTTTCTAAAATTAGATTGTTGCCCCAAATTTCATTATTGAAGATTAATTTGCAACAATTAATAAAAGGTTAATGACTAATTAGTTACTAGGATTATAAAACGGGGACCACTGGTGCAATTTTCTATTAAAATAATATTGGTGGTTGAATATATATATATTTTTAATGGGGGAATTCGTTGAAAATATAATTGTCTCTCATTAAAACTTGTTCAAAAATATCACCAAATTCAAAAAATTCCGTTGCCGGGACTTGAACCCGGGTCTCTCGGGTGAGAGCCGAGTATCCTAACCAACTAGACTACAACGGACTTTGCTTATGAGAAGAAGCTAATAGAAATTATACAGCACTTTCCACAATCGAATACTTGATAAAATATATTACTGATTTAAAAAATATAAATTCACACGATCCTTCCTACTCTCGACACTGTCTCCCACTCGCGTCTCATGGTTAATTTGATCGAGAAGACAATTTAGGTTGCTTTCTAATTAAAAGTTCACATGAGTATTAAATATCACGAAAAAATAAGTGCATACAAATGTTTTACAATACGACATTCTTTTACTCTCTATTCATATAAAAGGATTAGATTGGAGGAGTCAGCCAAATTAGATTACAAACAAAAGAAGCACACTTTCACTAAACATTTACGAGTTTGTGGCTACTACCTGTGAATTTCGCATAATTCATAAAACGATCATCTTCTGAGTTTATATAGAATGAACACTTTTTTCTTACAAAGCAATTTGAGGACAAGTTCTACCTATTGTAATTGTAACGACTTCTCTTCCAAATCATAGGAATGAATGTTGTGTCTTGAACTTCATTCTAATGGTTCTAATGTCAAAGCAAAAGCAAAATTCGGATAGGGTACTAAGAAGTAGGTTTGTACCATCTTCCCACTTCAAAATCGGACATGAAAAGTTCCCTTCAATCCCACTCAAGTAGGTAAACCAAATAAAGAAAAGAGTTCTGGCTTTCAAATTTTGATGAACCATCAACTATTTGGGGACAACATAGTTTCAATTGGATTATGTTGGATTTGCTGCCTTCAGTTTCGCACTGGCAAGTTTTGTTTCATGTAGAAGCAGAATCATTAGTATTAAAAGAAGCCACCAAATCCAGTCGAAAATATGCTTCAAATTTTTATTCTCTTCAAATCAGAAATTTTGTTACAAACAAGTGGAAAAGAAAAGTATAAAATTTAACGATTTATCATGATTCATCAGTTGTAGAATCATCTAACGGATGCCAGACTCTGTTGAAGAACCACATAGTATCAGCCTTCACAGCATATCCATCCTGATTACGATGCCAACTATAGTAAGCATGGGTTCGATTCTTGATATCGAAAGTGGCATGACCAAAGCTGGCCTCGCGATAAGCTGAGTATTTAGGCTGTGGTTCTGTCATACTGAAAATAATAGAGAATGCATTAGCTTATAAAGTCGTCTACTTTTCAAGTAAATTATACGAGTGAGCATGTTTGGATAAGAATCATTAGTATTAAAAGAAGCCACCAAATCCAGTCGAAAATATGCTTCAAATTTTTATTCTCTTCAAATCAGAAATTTTGTTGCAAACACGTGGAAAAGAAAAGTATAAAATTTAACGATTTATCATGATTCATCAGTTGTAGAATCATCTAACGG